AATCGGCTCTCTCTTGGGCAGGAGTCATCTAGCCTCAAATTCTATAGACATGAGACATAATAGTAGTCTGCTGTCCCCAAAAATGCCCAGGCAAAATGAAATGGCTTTGTTCTGCACCTCTGCACGTAGGAACTCGGTGTAAGTGAAATGTGTTTATTTGAAAGCTCTGGAGATGAGGGAGCAGAGCATGGGGTAAGTCTTCCCTGCGCTGCCTTTCCAAGTAGATGGGGATGGTTCAACCTCTCCCCCTTCCTCCAGAGACCAGAAACCAGCCAGTGCTTTGGGTGGCTGTGGTTTCTTTTTAATAACTAAAATTGGAGGGTTTGGATATTCCCAGTCGCAGAAGGCTGAAATCTTTGTCGAACACACTGTTCCACGGAGCCATTCCTGATGAGGAGGAAGAGGGTGCGGGGAGCAGCTCAGATGCTTCGCAGATAAAGCTACGTGCCGAGTTCGTACCCCCCGGGGGGGGGCTGAAGTCCCTTTCTCACACTCAGGCTGCATTTTTGACTGCAGTGCAGCGAGAGGCCTGTGCAGCAGCTTGTCTCTGTGCTGCTGGCTCAAACGCTAAAATCCGTACCGTGTCTAGCAGCAGACGCTGTGAACTACGGCTTGGCCTCATCCGCCCGGAGCACCTTTCTGGCTTGCAGGCTCTTGAGGCAACACCAGACGTTGTCCCTGCCGCAGGGATGAAAAGGATGGCTTGTCAGCAGGCAGCTGGGTGCCAGCCCCGTGCCTGCGTGGGAGCAGACATCTTGAGAACCCACAGAGGCAGAGCAGGTCTGTGCAAGGGGGGTGACACTGGTGCTCTGGTGTAAATGCCTGTAGCAGAAACAGGGAAACGTCTGCTGAAAGGATCAGGCCCCGAGTGACTGGGGACTCTGGAGAGGTTGCTGCCTGCTGTACGCTTTGGGTACGGTTGTGCCAGCCCCGTGCCTGCGTGGGAGCAGACATCTTGAGAACCCACAGAGGCAGAGCAGGTCTGTGCAAGGGGGGTGACACTGGTGCTCTGGTGTAAATGCCTGTAGCAGAAACAGGGAAACGTCTGCTGAAAGGATCAGGCCCCGAGTGACTGGGGACTCTGGAGAGGTTGCTGCCTGCTGTACGCTTTGGGTACGGTTGCTGCAGCCCTTCGCACTGGTGTATTCGTCCCTCCCCTTGGCAAGCTTTTTCTCAAAGCGCTCCTGGCCTTGGATTTGCATCTTCTCTGCCCAGCGCTTACCACAATAAAATGATGGATCCGCAGTGTTGCATTGCTCTGTTGCCTCTCTCTTTTTCCCTTTCCGCACCTACCTGTCCTACACACCGCCTCTAGTTTTAGCAATTGCCCTCTGAGCTCATCTTGGCCAGACTCTACCGTTAGACTCTTTGATCCAGTTGCCTTCTTAGGAAGCCGCTCAAGCGGCCTGGCAATCCAGCTGAGCATCCTTAGGTGCCTTAAAACCAAGTCCATCTCCAAGCAATAACCACAGCGCTTTCAACTAAAATCCTTTCAGCTGCAGCTGAACAGAAGTCACTGCTGAGAGAGGGGAAGCCCGAGATCTCGCCCCTCCAGGCTGTCTCAGAGTTTATTTGCTGGTTGTAGTCGGAGCTGCGACAGCACCTTCTTGGGAATTTCCTCTGCCGTGGCGTGCTTGGTTCTGGCCCTCTTCTCCGCAGCCATGCGGTGCCAGAGGAGGAGGATGGAGGGGAGGAAGGCTGTCCTGCGCGGGAGGAAGGAACTGCCTGAAGAATTCCAGAGTGAAACACGATCTCTCGGCTTCCTGCTGCAGCGCTGGCTCCTGCTCGGGGATTAGATGCTGGCGGTGGGTCGGAGGCTTTACATTGTTGTATTGCACACCAGCTGAGGCGGTGCCAGGCAGCCTGGCCTCCTCCTCAGTGAGTCCGCAGGCAACCGGGAGCCTTGCTGCTTCGGGTTTGCCTCCGTCTGGCGTCTGATTAAAGATGCTGTCAATGCATTTCAGCCCAGGAGTTGAGGGGGGGGAAAAGCCTCTCTGATGCGTGTTCTTGTATGGCTCCATTTTAGTGGGCTGTTTCCAGGTGGTTGGGTTTTTTCTCCCCCATTGAATAGGGCAATAAAACTTCATCCCTGGGGGCTGGGTGGCACTGAATGAAGGATCCATGGGGGAAAGCACTGCCTGTCTGTGGGAACATCCCTACCACCATTTCTGGTCCGTACAGGGCAGGGAACTTCTCGCTTCGTTTGACACTTGAGAGGTTTTAGTTTTCACCTTTGGCGGACACTGGAGCTCTGCAAGCACAGCGCAGCATGTGCAGTAGCAGAACAAGCTCTTCCCTTGTCCCTGTCTGCTCTGCAGCCTGTTCAGGTGCCGACCCCTCTTCTGAGACCACCAGATGAAAGAAAGGCAGGAGAGATGTCTAGTGCTAAACACAAGCAGAAGGAGGAAAAAGCTTGTGATGCAGAGCCCGGGCTCTGGGACCCCCCCCCAACTTGCTCAGTGACCACCAAGCACCCCGAGATGCTAGCAGCCACTTTGGCCTGGCCTTTATTGCCAGTCCTCTGCCTGGTTCATGAGCAGCCCCAACTCTGGGTGCCACAGCGGGGGGAAGGTGTTCATTCCTCCTTCTACCCCAACATTGCCATCAAGCAAGGAGGCTGTGGTCGCCTTGCGGCTGGTGCGTGCAGGGATGGGGTGTAAAGGGAAGATGTCTGTCTGCCAGCAAGCTTGGCCAGAGGCTGAGCGCCCTGCGGAGCGAGAGCCCAGGCGCTGGCACAGCTTGTATGCCAAGGTCAGGTTGAAAGCAGCAGTGCAATAGCGGGGTCCAAAGTATAAACACATTGGTCCAGCGCCTGCCAAGCAGGGAAGTGCAGCTTTCTCCCTGTGAGCTCTTCCGCGCTCCTCGGCTGCCCTCAAGCCCTGTCTGTGAGATAGCAGCAGAGACGGGGTGGTCTGGAGCATGCCGGTTCGGCTGCGCTCCCTCCCATCCTCTCTGCTGTGGCTTCTGCTGGTCTGAACTGGCGGTAGGTCTTTTGAGCTTTGTGGGGCTTGTTTTTAAGCCTTCTCCTTTGAATGATACTCTAATAGCAGCTGGTCGGCTCAGCAGCATCTTGTGCACAAGGGAGCTCATCCAGCTGTACCCCGAGAGCCAAGACTGTCGCTGAACTCTGATATCTCCTTCAGCCAGTGTAAATCTGCAGGATTCTTGTTTTGCCATATAAACCAGCCCCAGTTTGCATAGATTTTGCCAGCTGAAATTTATTCTACACGATTCAAGGTAACCTGAGTGGCAAAACTAAAGTTTCCAGGCAGGTAATGTTTGACCTGCTTGCCAGTCATTTTGCTTGGCAGAAAATATGTATTTTACTGGAAGAAAGAAAAAAAAAAAAAAGAAAAAAAAAGAAGAAGTGTTCATCAGCGCTTAGGCTGTGAAAGCTCCCTGGGCAGCTG